AGATGCTCAGACGTAACCTTACAACTGTGTCCGACCTGCTCAGGTGGTGTTTCCTCGGGTGGCGAGGGTTTGCAAGAACGACCGAGGAGGCTCGCCCCGTGTCCTGGAAAAGCAGTGGACCTCGTTCCTCAAGTCTCGGCTGAACTGCTCCATCCCCGGCGACTCCCACTTCTACTTCAACATCCTGCAGGCAGTGACGGACGTCATTCACATCAATGGGAGGGATGTCGTCATGGCGACTTTCTCCACTCCGTACAACAGGTAAAGAAGGGAAAACTAAACCATCATTTTAAGTATTTAAACATCAACGCTGACCCGTTGGGGTTGAGGCCGTTTTTATTCAGCTTTTCCTCTCATCTCAAATAAGTTCACGTGTGTCAACAGCCCCTTTGCACTTTCCATTTATTATCCTGATTATCCTTCTCGGTTTGAGGTATTTTTTAAAAACGCCCTCAATTCATCAACATTATGACAGAGTGACCTTTGTTAACACTGGAAGCGTGTGCCTCTTGGCGACGTGTAATTTCTGATCCTACCGGGTCAACATTTACATCTTCTGTCAAAACACTTTTGTTGCCCTTTTGACATGCAGGTGTTTAATCCTATTTTTTTTTCTTCCCTTTTTTACAATTCATATTGGGAACTGCTTTCATATTCACAGGCAGTGGGAGTTTTTATCTAAATTGAAAATTACCACAAAGCCATAGAGCTCGGCTGATAGCTCACACATATTGTAATTTTCCATTTTATGGCTGCTTTTTAGCAGATAAGACAATTGCTTGTGACAACGCAATTGAGCATGGTTAATGGACATTAAAACCCAATGAAGCAGCGCCTCTGAAATTTTCTATAAGCGCTGGTTTTGATCCTTGCATTAATTTTCCATTTCATAGTCAGGGGGTGAAATTAGAGGGAGCGCATTAGACTTTGGGCAGCACTCGGGGTTTGTGTTGTCTAATTGTCTGTCTGGATGTCTGGCTGGGTCGCCGCATGGCCGCCAACTTGTTCACCTTGTTATCAGCCCGATACAAACAGACATGTGACTGTCTAACTTTCTCTACATATCCAATACAGAGGGCAATTACTGTAATTTAGTCTCTAAGCCAAGAATTAACAACTCTCTGACCTTGCTCTCTATAATACTGCCCTTGTGTACGCCGTCTCCCCAATGGCTACATGATGGGCTTAACCCATGATGCAACAGCGAGAAAATCCAGCCAGCTGAGGGAAAGGAAAAAGATTTCTCTCTTTGTAAACAGCCCCCTTAATTTTTATTTCGGAAAGCAGCCGCATAAAAAACCGAAAAGTGACTCAGTAATCTGCTATGCATTGATTCCACACAGACATTAGCGGCTTCACGGCTGTCACAAGACGGGTGTTTTTCCCCTTAAAATGAAAAGCAATAATACCATAATCGGTTGTCTATATTTTGAGCCTCACAGTGGACTTGTGATGGATTTTGATGCCTCCAGGCTTTTTGGGGAAACCCAGTCTGGAAGAGGAGGAGGCTGAGGAAATGTCAGATGTTGTAGCCTCATATGTTAATATCCAACAGATACAACGCTGAGGGAATATTAGGTATAACTGCTTCTGGATCAGTTTAAGTTCTGTGTTTTTTACCCTCAAATGTGTCTGTTTGTGTAAATAAGAAAAAAACTGAGAATAAAGAACTGGGTACCTTTTATTTTACCAACATGCTGAAACCTTGACAGTATTCAAAACTTGACTGCATCCCTCAGTGTAAACATGCAACAGCTAAAATAAGCCGTCCTCAAGGGATTTAACCCTTCTGAAAAGCGGATTGTAAATCCATTTTTCCTGTCTTTTGGTGATAGTCCAGAATTGGCAAGGTTCTTCTTTGATATGTTCAGTCAAGAGGATTGTTTATTTAGTTTTTTTTCTCTTTTTTTTTTTGCTGGTGGGTGTGTGCTGTGGCAGTATTCCAGGTTCGGCGGTGTGTGCCTATGACATGGCGGAGGTGGCCAACACGTTCACGGGGCGTTTCAAAGAGCAGAAATCCCCAGACTCCACCTGGACGCCTTTTCCCGAAGAGAAGGTTCCGAAGCCGAGGTACGACAGCAGTTAATTAACCGGTGCACGCATACGCTCAGATACACACCGGCACTCGTGGGATTTAACACAGTCGCACATATATATATATATATAGAGACAGAGTTGCTCGTTCTTTCTTCTCACTCGCGGCTCTTTCACACATGCAGACATAAAAGATGCACCCTAATCAATGCACAAGTCTTGCTGAATCATAATGTGTTAATGCACCATATTTTAACTCGCATTGCATGTATATATATATATTTTTTTTTTATTATGTTCTGACCTTGTTATAGAATTACACATCCCGTGTCACATTGCGTCACGCCCACACACTGTAACGCACAGCAGCGCTAGATGCCACCCTTTTATATCAGAGCTGCACCCCATTACCTCACCTCTCCCCCACATGCAGCTGCATCAACAAATGAAGCATGAGATCATTTTACAGATGGCTGGCTAATTCCACAAATGTACCAACCTGATCAATCTCCCATCTATTGTTCGCTAATTAGCGCGCTAAGAGCTGCTCTCCTATCCCCCCAGAAAAAGGCTGATTTACTTCAAAGATGTGGGCTATGATAATTGTTGATACCCAGTGTTTTCTTTCCTCTTTTTTTTTTTAAATTCCCATATGTCTGAGGAGGCGGCTCCTTACAAATATTGTGCATACATCTCCATGCATTGTGTGAATGAGTGTATATATATATATGTATATGTGTGAGTTTTACCCACTTACCTCAATTAGCATGTAATTGCTTGTTTATGTTCAACAAGGTCAGGCGCGGCAGTGATCAGATATCCTCGCCGTTGTTTCTGCAGTAATTGATGTGATGGATTTCATTTCCATCCTCTGGTGTGTTCAGACCTTTTATCTGCAGGCAAACAGACGGAGAGTTGTAACAATGCCACTTAGGTCTGGCCCCGTAGCAGACTGTTCCTCCATGTGGTAGACGCTCGTACTGAATCATTTACAGATTTTCTTATTTAAGAGATGTCTGTTTCCGTTCAGCTCTCCATATGCGCGCGGACATAAATGTAGCTTTCTTTTTTTTTTTTCTTTACAGTGAATAATGGCTTTGCTTACACTTAATTTAACAGTATCAGTTCACTTAAAGTGAGCAGCTGCTGGTTTGACTTCATGTGTAAGCTGTTTTCCATACCTCATTTAAGGCCCTTAAAAATTCAGACCTTGAATAGTTAAAAGAAAAAAAAAATCATCCCCAAATTGTTTTCACTCCACATTTCACAGGATCTAGAAATTCAGTCCTGTCTTTGCGTAATGATGTGATACAGATGTGTTTAGGGATGCACAGAATCTCCATTATTGCTTCCACATCTCCACCTTCCAGAGAATTACATAAAAGAAGATTTTACGTTCCTCTCGAGTGCACACAAATGTATATTGTATAGGGTCCGGTCCTTACGCGTTGACAGTGTCGGACATTCGGTGTCCAGCTGGCTAGTATTTCTAGGACCTGGTGTGGATTATGTGCTGTGGCTGGGTATCAAAGACCACGCAGTAAAGGGGTTTTACAAGCTCTCCGAGGTGAGATGCCTGTAAAGGGGATATGCTATCAAAAGCTGCTTCCCTTTTTACAAGAAGCTCACCAACTCCCTGTAAAAGGATCAGATAGATAGAAAGTTTCAGTGCTTTGCCGCAAACCCAGTGAAAAGAAGACATCTTGTGTCCTCCAATACGGCCGAAGCCTCTTTTTTTTTTTTTAGCTATTTAGAGTCGCACTCTCATTGATTTTAGGGAAGTTGAACTTTCTGTCTTCTATTGGAGCTTTCACCATGAAAAATAGCTCGTTCTCCCTACAGTAAATGTGGTGGTTTTTCATTTGGGCTTTTTTCTCTTTCTTCTAACCATTTCTTTTCCCCCCTCTGCCATCCTCCCTTCCTCCTCATCACCTCCCTCCCTCCTCTACTCTCCATTTTGCAGGCCTGGGAACTGTGCCGGCACTCCATCCATGGAGAGGTACAAGGTATCCAATGAGTTCCCCGACGACACACTCAACTTCATCAAGATGCATCCTCTGATGGATGAGGCCGTGCCCTCCATCGCTAACAGGCCCTGGTTTCTCAAGACCATGGTTCGGTGAGTATTGCGCTCTCCAAAGGCCGCCGTCATCGTCGTCTATGAGCCTCTTCAGCCCGGTACGATAATTACATGAAGTGCTGCTCGGAGAGTCAGGCTCATTAAAAGACAGTAGTACTCCATCGCAAACCAGCCGCTGACCTATTTTTCTCATAGTAAAGGAAACACCAATCTACGCTATACTATCCTTCTCCCCGATTGACTGAGCTGTGATGCGAGGGAGACGGAGTAAACAGTTTGATGTACATCCTGACGCTGTTAGCGACACGCAAACACGCGTGAGCGCTTATTAAAAAGACGAGTTCTTCTCTTTGCATGTTCAAATCCTCTGGGGGTATTTCAAAGAGAGGATACTGGAGCAAAAAGTACTTTTTTTTGTGTTCTGTGGTTGGCTCTCCTCTCTTGAGTTTCTGCAGTTGAGCCCATTTCCCAAAAGCCAGTGCACTGTGGCTGATGCCGTTTGATCATAAAGGTCTGTCTGGCTTCTACTTACACTGCACACACACACAGACATTTCAGCCAGCCTCCGGGGGGAATGCGACAGCACACCGCCATCCCGTCGGCACTGCAAAATGAGCTGACGGTGCATTTGGTTAAAAAAAAAAAGTAGAAAATCTCGTTTTTTTAAAAAATTCTGGACGTGGTTCCGAATTGCAGCTGCTCAAGATTTAAGGTTAGGAGAGCTTTGCCAGGCCCCTGACAGGCCTCAGCGGTGCTAACATCACTTTAAAGATCAGCTACATAAAGAATTCTTCATAGGTTTTACAAGGTTTTTTTCTCTTTGCATCATATCACATCTATCTGCTACTTTGCTGAGGTCTGACCTACATACTGTGCCGGCTTAGAACATGAACAGCTTTCATCAAGGTTACCCCTGCGAGTCTCTCCGTTGGTTCGTTAGCGTGCCATCACATATGACTACATTATGAATGACACCGTGTTTCTGTCTTTACATAATCAGCAATCCGACTGTTTAATTTGATTTGAAATGTCAGCACAATGAGCTTTGCATGCGAGTCAAAGGCAGGAGTTAAAAGTGTTATGTAAGCTCAAAAAGCATCATGAAGGCACATGGGGGGGATGAAGAGTGAGGCCCTTAATGATGTCTGTCACAGCTTCGATGTGGAGCTGAAGTCGTTTGGAAATGAAATCAGTAATAGGGTTTGATCCTTGTTACACCTCCGAGAGGACACCCCAATATCCAGCAAGAGCTTCTTTTTTTTTTTATTCCAATTTTAAAAAGCTTTTCTGTCTTGAGACTTGCTGTGCTGTGTGACGGGGACCTCAGCTGGCTGGGCACAATGAATCACTCAGAGGGGGGAAGACACTCTGAAGAAATCCCCTCTTGCGATTTTTATTATCTTGAATAGGAAAGGCGGTGAATGTGCGATTCTTTGAGATTGTATTATTTCGCCGAGATCAAATCCCATTGACACAGTCCTTGGAGCTCCCGTTATGATTGAAGAGATCAAAACCGCGTCAGACCTTCAGATTGTCGGTAATATTGATTGGATAAAGCCGGTGACACGGTGCGTTTTAAGAGATATTTTAGGAAAACAGAAGCGGTGAATAGGATAAGAGGATGTGACCTTGCTTCTGAATGGGCTCATGGTATAAAACTGTCATCGCCTGCACAGGAATTCTCTTTGGGTGTAGTAATAGCTGTTTTAGCGGTCGTGTAGCTTCTCGACCACCTTCGCACAGAAAACATTCAGTAAACATTAATGAGGGTGAAAGTGGACTTCCTGGATTTCCGGATAAGCTCTCATCTTTAATCTTTAAATCCCATCTCCTTCAATTAAAAAATAATGAAAACAAGCATTTGCATAATAAACACTGATGCACAGATACCTTTTTTTTTTGCTCTGTTTATGAACTAATAGAGAGATGGATACCAGCAGCTGCACTGCCGTGAAGTCAGATGAACAATAAATAGCTTCAAAAAAAGAAAAAAAAACAACAACAACCTGTTTTTGTTATTTGATCTGTCTGCATTTTTTATTCTAACACCCGCAAGCACAATAGGGCATCGCTCCAAAACTCACTGACTGGCAGGTGTCTAATTTGCTAACCTGAATCTGTTTGGTATCGTTGGAGTTTCATGCACGTCCAGCTGGTGCTCAGCCAAAATGTGAGATCAGCAGCTGTCAATTAGAAACCAGGGAGACGCGTGCTGTCTGCTGCCTGGAAAAGTTTTTTTTTTTTGATAATGTTTTTCTTTTAGGAACCACCTGACGTGCCCTATGGCAATCCCACTCTAATGAAATAACAATCAATTATTGAGATTAACAAAAGCCTCCTGCTGTTAGTCTCCTTTAGACGACTGACGTGCATGATGGAAGGCTCATTAATTAACTGATTGATTGATTGATTATATAACTATTATCTTGGGTATTACTATTAACAGGTTTATTTATTTTAATCTTCTCTGTCGTGTGTTTTTATTAGTGCAAATGTTCTCAGTTTTTGCATGTACAGTATTGGGATACAGTTCAAAATATTTGCATTGAACCCCTGCTGGTGATGTTCGCCGCCATCTGTTGCTCCTCCGACAGGCAAACCTGCTCCTCCGCCGGTGGCCAAACTGACTAATTAATTGACTGGTTGATTTATTTCACTCGGTCTTTTCTTTATTCCAGATACCGTCTGACGCGCATCGTGGTGGACAGCGAGGCGGGTCCCAACAAGAACCACACGGTGGTGTTCCTGGGCTCTGAGAAAGGCATCATCCTCAAGTTCTTGGCCAAGATGAACAACGGTTTCCTCAACGACAGCCTGTTTCTGGAGGAGCTCAACGTCTACAACCCCGACAAGTACGTAGCTCTGGACGTGCGAGAGAGACGGACAGAAAAATAGAAACACATGGATACAGTTGCTACAAACGGAGAACAGCTTATTGCGTATGTGTGTGCGCTATAGAGGGAGAATGTGTTTAATTTTGCATGTTTCCACCATCCACCGGCTCCGCCAACCCACCAACCCACCAGCTCCATCACGACCAGTCAGCTCCCCTGACCCAAGCTGCACAGCAACGCCAGCCAACCAGATGGCTACTCTATCATTTAAAAGAGTTTTATCAGGTTACATTCTGCCCAACCACAGCTCCTAAATTAAAGACATAGACCCTAAGGCTCTGGATAACGTAGCGCTGCGGTTCCCGACCACAGCAGAGCCCAGCTCCTCCAAAACGCCGGCTGATTAAAGGAAACGCACGCACACACTCACGCCGAGGTCTGTGTTTGTCTTCAGAGCCAGCCTGGGATCTCTCACTAATACATTACACGTCTGTTGGTGCTCGTATGGTTGTGTGCGCATGAACTCGGTACACAAGGGCCGAGCAGAGAATTGTTGTGTATTTGGAGAATAAGAAGAAAAAAGTATGACCCAGCCAAAGCAAATATTTAGTTGCGCGGTAATGGATGAGAGGGAATGAATGGCAGCACAAATACAGACGGGAGAGAGAAGAGTGGTGAAGAAGCAGAGTGGAGAATGCATTACTGTGTTAGACAGCTGAGGAGGAGAAGAAGAAGAGTGAGGACTTGATGTGAGGGCCTTCAAGGTTACCGCTGTTTGTTATCCAACATGCTGCAACCATCTGATGAGCCGCATGTAGGGGACGGAGGGCAGACCCTCGCTACTCCGCCGCTTTATTTCCCTCCTCTGCTCCGCTCTGTCTCTGTGGCTGAGCTCGAGCATCCGTCGGCTGCTGGCCATCTGGCTTTATTCGTGTACAGTAAGTGACTTTGCCCGCTCGCCTCCCTGCCTGGCTGGCTGGCTGGCTGGCTGGCTGGCCGGATCAGCGTAGGCCCGCTTGTCGTGCATTACCCAGTGTAGATGGACTCTAAGCCCTAATTGAGAGCGTTAATGCAGGACCAGAGCTCTGCGAAGGGGGAGATTAAATCCCAGGAGCTGGATGGCGGGATGGAGAGAGGAACGGAGGGAGAGAAGGGATAGAAAGATGCTTGACACGCCCAAAGGGATTAGAGTGTGCTCTTGTGGGCCGGCGGAGACAAAGAAGACTAGCGGGGATGGAGGAATTGTGACGGAGGAGGGGTGTGGGTTAGTGGATTTTACAGTTAAGTGCAGCGTTATTGCTGACTGCTCACAGTGCCCATCTGTCTGTTTATCTGTTGTATCTGTATCACCCCTTTCTTTATCTCTCTTTATCTCCCACTCCGTTCCTGACCTCTTGTTCTCAAGTCCAGTATTATCTCTGCTCCCTCCCGACCTCACAGTTTGTCTCTCGGCCGCATCTTAATCTCCCTATTTTTGTTTTCTTCCTTAAATGAACTGTTGCACCTCGTTTTGCGGCTCCAACATTTCTCCAGATTTTGTAGTTAAAGAATAGACATAACATTTCCTCCTCTGCTCTGCCTCCTGTAGGTGCAGCATAGATGGCGTGGAGGACAAACGCATCATCGGTATGCAGATAGACAGCAAGAGTCACGCTCTGTGGGTCGCCTTCACTTCCTGTGTGGTCAAAGTGCCGCTGTCGCGCTGCGAAAGGCACGGACGATGCAAGAAGTAAGTTCGACGCTGGCCTTTTAAATGATCCTAAAAAAGAGTCAAACAACTTCAAACCGAGAGGAAAAACAGTGTTCCGGTGTACAACATGTTGTGGGGCTTATGGTGTGTGTAATTGTTCTGCAGATCCTGTATAGCCTCCAGAGACCCGTACTGTGGTTGGGTATCAGAGGGGGCCTGCAGACAGGTGGTCGGCAACACCAAGTAAGTAAACACAAGCACGAGAGAGTTGGACGGGAATAGTTTGGCCGTGCAATGGGTGTAAAATTATCATGCTTTTGTCATAAAAACTCATTAAACCATAAGTCAGCTGCTGTGAAACGAAACATTTAATCATATAGCCTGAAATACTGTTGTGCTTTGTAGAACCTGGCTTTTTTTTCCAGTTTATATCAGTTTACTTTTGGGTCTGCAGATTGATTTTGGGGATAAATTCAGGTTCCTATTTGCTGGAGCTCTGGCTTGTGCCTCTAACTGCCTATTTCTCTCGACACTAACAGCGGCTGAGGCGCTCGGCTTTCGTAATGTTTAGGTCCTCGTGATGGGAAAAACAGGATATCTGAGTTTGCATTATTTAAAAGCCAATACCCACCACATTATCCTGCACCTATAGCCAAGCAAAGCGCGTGTTGCATTTATGTTTTTAACGACTAAAACAGCATCCCGCCCTTTATCGTGATACCTGTTGTCGCCCGACTTTGTCATATCTGTGATCTTCCTAATTTTACGGTGTGTTAGTGCAATTTTCTTTAGCTCAAGGGGCTATTGGAAGAATGAATGGAAGGAAAGTGTTGTTTGCCCCAGGCTCGGGGTTGGGTACGCCGCGCTTGGGAAAGCATGATGGTTTGCAGTAACTATAATTTGTGGCTGTAGTTATGACACAGAAACAGATTATGCTTTCTGAACAAACAGCATGTGGAGTTTTGTGGTGGGAAAAAACATTTTACAGATGAAGTCATAACAAAAGGACCGGCGCTCCGCTGGCTATTTGACGGTGAATGAATTTGATCCCGCCGTTGCAGAATGATTGGTCTGACATGCCAGAGCAAAGAAGGCACACGTAGCCACATGTGCGCACAAAAAACTAGCGAGAAGAGCAAAAAAAAAAAAAACACACACTCGCTGCCCATTCTATTATTATTCTGCAAAGCCGAAGCGGTGGGGCTGCTCTGATTGAGTTTCCACTTTGGAGCAGGAGCCGACACAGAGGCATTAAGGGGGCAGATGACCTCGCTTCTTTACTGTACAATATTTCTAAGTGAGAGAGAGAGAGAGAGAGGGAGAGGGATTAGGTCTGGTAGGATCTGCTGGTCTGTGGTGAGCTGTTCAAAAACATTTGCCCGGCTGGACAGGAGGAGAGATGAAATTAGGGAGGGGAAAATATTTAGTTGTTTGCTCGTATAAACAGGTCTCCGCAGAGGAGACGCTTTTCCTTTCCAGACATCAGCCTCCCGTTCTGTTTCTTGTTGATAGCACCATCGCTGCGTCTTCCTACCTGTCCATCCCTGTCTGTGTGTCTATTTATATCCGTCTTTCTTTTTTCTATCGTTTCCTCTGACATATTCTTTCTCTCTTGCAAGCCTCCCGTCCTTTCTTCTTCCATCTGGCCCTGATGCTAGCGTGCCAGCTTTCCCATGTGGAGTTATGCCTCTTATACCTAGTGCCTATAAACAGCTTGCACTCTGGTCTCCTGCAATATGGTCCCCAGTCACCCCATGTTCATGCATATAATTGCATACGATTCCGAGCGGCTGATATTTTGTAAACTGGATCTCTGACAATCATCGTATTAGTCGGTGCTGGTTAATAATGTCGGCCATTGTCTCAAACCCTGACTTCTCTCGGGAGGATAAAATGTGCCCTGTGTGTTGGCTGGTTGCCTGGTGAGCTGCCTGTTCCTTTTTAAAACAAAGCCATGAATCAAAATGAATGGGCGACTTTGAGAAAAAAAAGCATTGTGCACGCCTGCTTCACACTGTAGGTACAGTATGCTCGGTCCCTGGTTGCCCATTCACTACTGTTATGAATAATTAATGCTATTATGCCTGACCTGCATTTCAGCAACCAAGTACCCCCTGTGCAACCACACATCTCACATAATAATCACATCTGATGCAAGATGATACAAAATGAGGGCCTCGGATGCCTCCAGTGCAGCTTGGATCTGATTTAAATATGCATTATAGGGGTTGCAGTGGGACCTTAACCCTGAGCTAAACTGTCTGTAGTGTCACATTCGAGCAGACTGCTCTTCTGTTGCTATAATACAGCCGCTGCGGGACCTGAACCCTTTAAGCGAGGGGTTCACGCTGTGGTTCAATCACTTTCATGTGTGCCAAGAAAGGCCCAGACACTGCATCTGTAGTGTGACCACTCATTGTTAATTAATCTCAACACCAGTGGGATTTAAACCTTGTAATCTTTGTGTCAAAACAGTCTCACCGCAGCCGGTAATGTTATTATCAGCCTATATAGGAAGCCATGACCACAGGGTTGCCTGTGTTTTGGTCTCCTGTCAAAGACGCCGAACGGCCTTTCATTGCCGAGTGGGAGGAGGTGACGACGTCTGCGAGGAAAATCCGGCAGATACCAGGAGTGCTTCGGCTGCCGTTTGTGCTTAGACAGGTTCAATTGTGCAACTCTGCGTCTGCTTTTGTGATTACGGCTGCGTACGATAAGCAAATCAGATTAAGCCGATTAACTGTACCCCCCAGATATGAAACGAGGATGCTGCTCTTGTTGTTGTTGTTGTTGTGTGGCTGTCGTGCTTTATTTTTTGAAGGGGGGAAATGGTTATCGAGAGGGTGAAATTCGCCATCTCCGTTCCAATTAAGGCTCCGCAGAACTGGAGGGGGGGCGGGAAGGTGACTAATAAATTAATGCATGAATGTCTCGGCGTATAAATACAGTAGCGACTTTGACTTCAGATCTGAGCGCCGAACAACAGAAATCCGATAGCGTTCCTCCTCCCTAAAATCTCCTGCTCTTGTCAGGTTCACATTTTCAAATCCGATCAGGGCACAAGGGGTGGGTGATGCTGTTTTGGAAAATCACTCTTCTTCATGCCATAATTGTGACCAGTGGAGGGTGAGGAGGATGAGAGGCGGGCGGGCGGGCGGACAGGCAGGAGGGGGGAGGACTGTAGAGGAGGACTGTGAAAAGCTGTCATGCGTGACTGTGATCCCGGTTGACAGTTGGTCCGCTCTGTTTCACAGATCTCCTTACTGCCTGCTTGGTGGTCTTTCAGGGAGAAAACAGGTCTCGGTGCAGATTGCATCAGAAAATAACATCTCCAAAAAACTCTCTCCCTCTGTGTCATATGATGGCCCTCAAGCATGGTTACCCCTCGCTGCTCCGGTCCGGGCCCATGTGATTAGAAGTGCTCACATCTCTACTGAACCCAGATGAAGTCAGATACGGCGTCAAAGGAAGAAAAGATTGAACAAAGTCAAGTTCTCATAAAAGGCAGCGAATTCTGATAAAAGTTTTTTTTTCTGCTTTCTTGCACAGAGTGAGATAAGATGATTGATACCACTGTCATGTCTGTACAACAAATTTGAGGAAGACGGCAGCAGGAGGTTAGCTTAGCTTAGCATAAGACAGGCAGGTGGATAGAAGTTGCTTGGCTCTGCTCCAGACTACCTGTTCTTGGACGTACCCAGTTTGTTTTAATCCTTTACAAATACCACTAAATGACAACGAGACATTTTATGAACGGAGTCGTCTGGAGCCTTAAATGGTTGCCTAGCAACCGATTCTAGCTTTCTCTGTCCCTGTTTACCAATTTTGGTGCTAAGCTAAGCTAACTGGCTGCACCGCATTAACCATTCAGGCTTAAGGGGGGGAATCACATCCTAATCCTGGCAGGAAAGCAAATAAGCATATTCTTTTTCTCTCTTTTTTTTTTTTTTTTTTACAGCTATACAACACGAGATAACAGTTTTTATTACTGACAAATAAAACAAGTCTATTTTTATCAACACTACTGGCAGCGAATCCCAGGCCAGCTATGGATTTCCTCGCCTGCCTGCATTCTTCATGCATGATTTTAGGGCTCCAGGGCACCTGCTAGGTGTTCTTTGATTTCGATCCAGCGCCAGGCTCTCTACAGCTCTCGCCGTGTGCTAGCATAGGATATTCTGTGTTCGGCGGTGTTTTTGTAGTAGCTTCCTATAGCTTTGTTACTTTGTTAGGTGTGGTGAGCCTGCATGGCCTGGCCTGTTTTCCGCTGCTGACCATGATGTCTCTGTTCCCCGCAGATCAGCCTTTGAGCAGGACGTGGAGCATGGTAACACAGATGGCCTGGGAGACTGCCAAAGTAAGCAGGCCCTCTTCACTCTTATCTTTCCTCCTCTATTCCATGCCCCCCCACCACCACCACCACCGCCGCCGCCGCCGCCGCCGCCACCATTCCTCTCTTCTCTGTTAACTCCTCTTCTCTCTCAGCCCTCCGTTTTTTCCTTCTCCGCTGCTGTCACCTTTTTCTCCCCCCGTCTGTTCCGCCCTCACAATCCTCTCTTTCAGCCTCTTCCATCCATCTGTCCCTTTCGGCTCTCGTCCTCTTCTGTCCTCCTCCCGCTGTTTCTCTGGTCCCCCGGTCAATAGAGTGTTGTGTCCCATTGGGCAGAGACTGGGTTCCTTCTTGCAAATCTCTCCGAAAACACAACACAAACATTCAGCGCCTCACAGGGAAGGGATTTTACTTGTGGGCAGTCACAGGGCTCGTTTTGAAACACACACAACAAGACGGGGCTCTCGACCAAATCGGTCTTGAAAGGTCTCTTTTTCCCCTCAACACAGGGACTGGCGCATATGGAGACTGTATATTTGATCTTTTCATGTCCAGGATAACTGTTTGGATTTGTCAAATAGGACGCCCTGTTGATATTCGACTGAGCGGCTCAGAAACTTCAAAACAAGTTGACATTAAATCACCCGTCTTAGTCCATTTCATCTCAATTTTGGATGTTTATTCAGCGTAAATAACGGCGGCGCATCTTCCCTTCAGTTTCATCAGTATGTTTAGTCAAGGGAACCCGTCGTGTTGAACCTTCATTAGCTGCAGAAGCCATATAGATCACCTCTGATTAGAAGTTGGAGGGATATCGAGCAAGGCAGTCGATTCTGAATTACTTTAAAAGTCATGGCTTTTGATCATGTTAAAGCATAAGCTCCCGTTACTTGCAAGCGATAACACGTTTCTCCTCGTCTCTTTTTTTTTTTCTTCTTCCAGATACCTTTGTGGCACTGAACGGTAAGTATCCCTCATGCACCGCACAGGCAATCAAATAAAAGACAGGATGCTCGTTAAACTTCAGACACACCTCCTCGGCTAGTCAGTCAATCATCCCCTCTCAAGGAAATGAAAACTCCTCCCACACGCGTAAAGACGGGTTATTAATGACTCGAGGTTTTAACTGAATTGATTTCGTTCCTTCCTCTCGATAGACATCCCTTCCAGTTACCAAGGTAATGAAACATTAAAGCGCAGTCGGTCACATTCGTTCCTCGTAGTGTTTCCCCTTCATCCAGCCCCCTCTTTGATGTTTAGAATAAAGGTCACGGAGTTGGAAATCAGGATTAAAATCTTTAATGCTGATTCTGATTCTATTAGTTCTATTAGACCTCCTCTCCTTCCTTGTTTCGCCCTCATCCTCTTTATCCCTCGTGCAATAGCATCGATTAGCCCTGACCTTTTGCTTCGCTAATTGGATGGATCTGGTTGTTGGTGGCTGGTTTAAAGCCTCGACGGTGAAGCGATGCCTCAGCGTTCGCATTAAGCCGGACATGTGTCGACGGAGAGAGAGAGCGAGAGCGAAATGTTAAACTGCTCTGTTTAGAGTCACGAACAATGCTTCTGCCAATTGCGCCAGACTCTTTGGACAGTCAAAGATGGTTAATTGAAAAAGGGCTAATGTAAACACAGATTTTTTTTTTTCTTTCTCACAGATATGTTTGCAATCACACAACACAATCACACTTTCACTCGCCGGCTGATTGATAGCGTTTACGTCACTCGACTCTTTTTTTTATTTTTTTTATTTAAAGAATGATGTGATTAGCCCGCAGCAAAGTCACTCTTATCCGTAACACCCACACCTCCACTCCCATCCACCTTATTTTTATCTAATCGGAGGGCGCATTCGTTTGGTTTTCTCTCTCTTTCACACACACACATGCATGCATACCTCGCAGCTGCCAGATCAAAACAGTCAGATCCATACAGAATGACAAGAATAGAATATTTTGAAGTCATTCCAGAAAGCCCAGCGCTCTCTCTCCCTCCTGTGGCTGTACCCCCACTGTGATTCTCCCTTCTTTTGGAGATCCAGGGTCATGGAAAAAGCATCTGTGTTGCTGTGCGCCCCCATAGAGCTGAGTGCGCTCCCACAGGCTCGGCTGTGTGTTTTCAGGCACATACACACAAACAGGCAACACCCAGTTTACAACCGCCCCAAACAAAGTCTCAGCCACTGCCCGGGCCCTTCCATCTATCTGTCGGGGCTTGATATGGATTTGAAGATAAATAAATGCCCCCCCCTCTCTCTCTATTCTCCTCTCTCTCTCCTACTCCAGACTAGACATCCTCGCCTCTCTTTTAATCTGTAGAAAGAGAGGGATGTGCATCCGTCGGCAGTTTAGGAGCTTTTTTTTTTTTTTTTCTCCTCCTGATCCGTGGAGGAGCTCCGAGGCTCCGAGCTCTCTCTATGTGTGTCATCTGCCTGAATTGCACTTCCCCTGGCGGTGGGGGAATGAATTATAAAATAGGCCTGTCACACTAATCTCTCAGCCTTGGGCCAATAGTTAAATAAATCATTTTAATGATTGCCACGCCACACAGAGGAGGAGGAGGAGGAGGAGGAGGAGGAGGAGGAGGCGCTGGGTGGCGTTGTGTGTGTGTGGGTGTCTGTAGTCTACCAGCAGCATCAGTCCTCATTCCTCCCCATCTTCAAACACCAGCATAAACACATATTGAAAAAAGGATCTCATGCACACACACACACACATGGCTGTCACCTCCTCCGTGGAGAGAGCGAGCGTATCAAAACGGTAAACTGGGGGTTGAGCTCCGCAAGAGGTCTGCTGATAAAAGTGTTGTCACTCCTCATCTAGGGAGGATTTTTTTATTTATTCTTTTTTTTTTTTAAAAAACAAACACGTGGCTTAAATACATTATACTTAAACACAATATATAGCTTGTGCAAAATTGTGTAGGGTGGCTTAACTGTAAGCATATGTGGGATGCTAATGTGATTAGCACGGTTCAAAAATAAACAGTCAGACAAAGCTCATGCACAAATTCCGCTTATGAAAGAAAGTGAGAAAAAAAAAAAAAAAGCCGAGACAGGCGGAGGCAGGGAAACGCAGATTGTTTCGGCGACACGAGGATGTCGACAGAGAGGAGACGTGCGCGATCCATCATCGGCGAGGGAAAGATTGCTTTGTTGCATTTGCACTTTGAGTGAATTCAGAGACATGGAGCGTGTGTGTGGTTCGCTGTCAGTGTCAATTAATCCACTGATTTATTTGTCAATTAACTGATTTACTATTTACTCTATAAAATGTCAGGAAAAAAAAAAAGCCTAAGAGTTGCGCAAGTGTGACGAGCACTCCAAAGCGAAGCCGTTGAGTTGAGCGAGAACGTCGCCGACCGCAGAATGTTTGACGTTTCAGCTTGGAAAAACGATCCTCTGTTTCTCGCTTTATGATTTTAAAAGTTATCGGCACCCGTGAAAATGAATCGAACGCAAAACTGATTGAAAAGTTCGATTTAAGGAACGCCGGAGAAAGGCAGCGGGGAGACGAACAGAAGTCAGAAGTGCTTTGCAGCTGAGGAAAAGTTACAGGCAGACTTCTCGACGGGAGCGATGAAAAGAAAGTTTGTCTCTTGTCCTTCATATCAAAGGTAGGCACCCTATGGTGACTGTGGAGGAATACAATCGTACTGCGCTCTGCTCTGACAGGCCCGACGGAGCTTTGACATGTCAGTCAGAACAGGAGGGGAGAGAATGAGAACGACAGAGAGGCGCAGAGAATGACAAAAAAATAAAAAAAGAGAAAGAAACACGTGTCTATCCTGAGAAACACACACACACATTTGCTAATGAGTCGCCCAGGGTCACAGGGAGAAACTATTTCGTTGCCTCACTCGGCCCAGCAGCTGTCCTTGTGTGTGTGTTGTCTGTGTGTGTGTGCGCTTCACCAGAGGAGTAGTTGTGTTGTTGCCCTGCTGGCCTGTGCTTGCGTGCACTGAAGCCTGTCCCTGTCTGCCCCGAGCGTCAGTTAACCTGTGTTGTGTCCGGCAGGCCACCATCACCACCACCATCACCACACCCTCTCACTTCCCACCTCGGCCCTCCCCGAGGCCGCGGAGGGGCCCCTTGGGCGGGGCCGCATGGTGGAGCGGAAGGACCCCCCCATGAGTTCTGACAAAGGGGAGGACCCCTACGTGGCGGTGCCCTCTCAGACTCAGCCCGAAGCCAATGGTAAGCCTTGGAACGCAACAGCGAGCAGTCAATTTGGTCCATTGTCACCTGTGGCAAGGGAGGGTGAGGCGGGGAGGGGAGGGATGAGCGGGGACGGGAGGGTTTTTTTTTTTTTTTTTTGCGTAATTGAGATTTACGGCTGCCTGGCTGCTTCCAGCTGACGAGGTGTAGAGGTAGTGGATCACTTTCTCTCCAGGGGACAAATTGCCTCACGCTGTGCACGTAAACCCCCCACACACAAAAAAAAAAAAAACGGACGCAAGCACACCTGCAGGACGCATACATATGCAGGCGCACGCACGCTCATTAAAACGCACGTGCGCACACACAAACACTCACGCAGAGACTCTTTAGGATGGATTTATTAACCGTGGACGGTAATGTCCCACAGGAGATGTAATATCCAGACCATTACACTCTGAAAAGGAAGATGGCAATGTATTTATTTCCTGGAGAAGATGGGGCCCAGTCCCCGGCTCTGTCATGCTTGCAACACAGTGACATGACATTGAACGCCCTTTTCTCCTGTGTTAACAACCTGCCTAATGCTGTACCGCCTCAAGGACAGCTCACTGGATAAATGAGACAGAGAGAGAAAAGGAAAAAATGGGGGAGGAGACGACACACACACACAAGAAAAAAAGAAAAAAAGGTCACTGCGGTGCTGCAGATCCATGTTTTGTCCGTTAATAAAACGCCTTTAACAGATCCCATTAAAACCACATGCAACATGTCGCCGCTGGATCGTATAGTTCACGCCGTTAAAGGCAGCATCGCCTTTAAGAGGTATTGATTAAAGTGATGGAGATTCATCAGACACTTTCTATAGACGTACTATAAGAACAGAAAGAGAGAAGGGAAAAAATAGCAGCTAATATGCTAAGACTAAAAGATTTTTTCATTGAAGTTTGTGTTTTGCAGAAGAACAAAAGGAAAAAAAGGAATGTATGCCATTTCCAGCTGCCTGGGGAGTAAATACAGGTTCAGCTTAACAAAGAACATACAGAATATATTTTCATTTTCAAGACTTTTTGAAGACTGAAGCGGTGACACCTAAGATTGATAGGCTGATTTTTTTTATTTTTTCATACCTGCGCCGCATAAATACATTCAAAAAGTTCAAAAGAGCTCAAAAAGACTTTGAGATGTGACTCAAATGTAAAGTTTTTTTTTTTCCCACATAAGAGCCACAAACTGGGGCCAGCTAAAAATCATCTCTCATTTCAAACACCAAAATAAAGTCGGTCTTTTTCCCCCCACAATACACGTCTCCTGTCGGTGGAATAAACAGAGGCACAGCAGTGACTGCAGCATGTCAGCTGGAAGCAGTGAGGCACCAGTAGGTAGATCCAAGCACAATGGTGGCAGAGACTTCAGACAGCATGCCTACAGCCAGCATCACAACATGCTGTCGCTCCCCTTGTTGCCTTCACCTGAGCAGGTGTAACGTTGCTCGAGCCTCGCGAAGAAACGGCGAGGAATGCTGAGAATCAAACGTAACTGTAACTAAAAGATGTCTTACAGTAATAAAAAAAAATGCTTCCCGTCTTTCTCGAGGACATGCGGGTGTTCACTGGTCAGGTGACGGCAACAGGGCCTCACATTTCAAAACAAAGCTTCCTGCTGTTTTTTCTGTATGATCATTATTATTATTATTATTATTATCATTTATTTACGAGACACTTTTTGCAGCTTGTTTCACTGTTTTCAGCTCTAAAGTCTTTTTCTTTTCCCTTTTTTTCCTCTGAAAGTCGACTCTGATGAGATTTTCTTTGGTTTTCTTGATTTCTTGTGAGCAGTTCTTGATATTTTGCATGGCTTGGTCTGAGACTGTCTTTTTTTTGCTATTTATATATTTTCCTGTGTTGATTGCTTTGATGGTATTAAGCACAGTTTTGCCTCCATACAGCTTAATGCTTTTCAGCATGGCAAATTGAGCACCACAGTCAACAGTACTCATTTCCCGCTCCACCCATCCTGCCTCCACTTCCTTCCTGTCGCCCTCAGTATTATTGGCTTCAGGTGTCAACTGTACTGTGAAAACTTAGCAAACTGCGTACGAGGGAGTGAAAATGGGGGGGATTTTCTTTTTAGGGGAATTGGGTCTTAAGCAGATAAGTCATTTTATCTGCACTTTTCAGCGGAGATAAATGCACGCGGCCCATTTTACAGAAGAAATACGGGATAAACATTTAACCATACCATCAATCTTCAAGTTTACGCTTCAGCGACGACGCATTAGCTCATATCCAAAGTCATTTGCGGGCTTGTTCGCGATTTAAAAGACATTACAATTACTCCCTAACTTTTTCATTTGCAGTTGAGAATCTTATCTGCTAATGAATATTACAGTGCTGCCAATATGTATTAGCTCGACACCACCAGAGTAATTAGAAATGCTGCAAAGTGACGAGGATTCACACGCCGATGATATTTAGCACCCGGCAGCATCATTGTCAGGCGTTTCATTGGGGCCGGCGCAGTGGCCAGGTGGCCGCTTGGGTTTCACAGTACATTTGAGCTCGTCTGTCTGTCTGTCTGTCTGTCTGCCTTTCTGTCCGGGCCTCATCTGTTTCTGTTATATTTTCTCATGCTCCTGTCATCCATACTCCCTCCCCGCCCTCCCTCCCCGCCTTTTTGCCCTCCCACCCAAAATAAACCACCACCAGCCCCCGCCACTCTCCACCATCTGCTGCCATTGTGATCAGTCTCCCTTCCACAGGACCTCTCATCTGACTGGGATGGCATGTTCCAAGGCTATACCTTACCTAGTGCAAATTAATTCCTGAACCAATTTATGGAGCCTCCTCCTCCGCCCTCCCCCCTCCTCTCCTCTCTCTCTTCCTCCTCCATCTCTGCACCTCCTCCTCCTCCTCCTTGTAGTCTGTCTCTTCTCCAACTGGAGTCATATCTCTTCCTCCTGTCTGCAGGAATGAATCCTTGCCCCTGCGCCCTCCTTTTGCTTTCTCTCCTCTTACTCTACCTGTCTCCCCCTTTCTCTGTCAGTTCTACCTCCCCCTCACCTCCTCCTCCCCTCCTATCCCTTTTCCATCCACCCTCCTCCTCCCCCCAAACCCCGACCTGTAGCCACCGCTGTGTTGCTCCAATTTATGGGTTCATTACAGCAGCTATCCAGGGGAAGAAGGAGAGGGGAGAGGTGGAAGGAAAGGGGGATGGAGAGAGGCAACACAGGGGGGGAGGTAGGTGGGTGAGAGACGTGGGAAATGAGGGAATAGAGGGACGCGTGATAAAGATTTATTAAACAGAGCAGGACAATAACGCAGCAGTGGAGGTTATAAAATGAGGTAAGGAGATAGCAGGTAGACAAACCGGCGGAGAGATCTGAACAAACAGGAGAGCAGGAAGGAGAATCGGGGAGGATGTGAGGTATCGTAGTGTTTCTCTCACAATTTCAACCCTGAACAGTTTACGTTCTGTATTTTATGATTACCCAACTAATCTTGGGTGAAACAGCTGAATGTCAAAATCGAAAAATTACATCCGGTGCCTCCGTCCCCGTCTCCTAGAAATCATATTTATATACCGCCAACTTCCTCAGGCGAATCTATTTTGAAGTAGATGTAATGCCACCCAGATTGCGTTTTATCATCATAATGAGGCTGGTAATTAACTGGCAAATTGCAAAATGAATTAATCAGTGAAACATTCTCCCCGAAAAGGTATTTGTTCTTCAACAGTATCCTCTCACAAGCAACAAAAGCACAGTTTAGGTTTTTTGTTTTAAAGGCACCCACAGCAGTCAGTAATGGTCTGAGAGGAGGCAACAGTGGCTTTAAAGTACCAAGACAGGATGTATTTACTTTATTAACCCAACAACATTGTGCTGACTTTTATGGCAACCATGTGTGGCTCAACACAGAGACTCCAAAACGAGCATCAGCACCTGAAACAAGCTTCGGACTGACTCCTGAAAAAGGGTTTATTGCAGGACTATCAGACCGCAGTGTTGTTTGTACGTATGATTCCGACACCAATTGCATTTCTTACCGCTGTGTAATCGTGAAAACAATATCTAAGCACAATTACCCGGAGACGTGGTTATCTGATGAGATGTTTCTGTTCCCTCGTGTCATATCACAAGGTTGTAATTCATTAAAAGCAGAGTGTCACTTCCTTGTCACTGAAGAAGAGGAGAAAGAAGAAGACGACGACGACGCTGCGGTTTCATCTCGATAATTACAAACCTGATCTGTGAAGTGAAGATGTACCTTTTGTTTTTTCCTTACATTGCCACAGCAACAAGACAACTTTCGATGGAATTTCATCTCCATTACACGAGAGCTACTGTAATTTATTTAAAGATATGATTTCCCTCCATGTCAGGATTTGGCAGTAATGCCAACTGTCAATTGACAGCTGCTCTGCAAGGGTTATTTTCTGCTGCAGGCAGCTCTCTGACACCTCTGTGCCAAGGTGAGGCTGCTGTGATAGAGGCAGCGTATGACCCGGCTCAGACAGGGATGCAGCTCCATTTTATGTTTTTCATGCCAGAAAAAAAAGTCTTGATAGCCTGAGAATTTCACTTCATCTCACTTTCAGTTGAAGGAACTTTTCACCATCATTATTGGGGGATGCCATGTCAATCTGAAGTGCTGCCTCTAGTTAAGGGGGAAACCATCGCAATCTGTCCAGTGATAGCAGAGAGAATAACATGTTGTTTTTGTTTACAGTCAGATTCAGGTTTGAACTTGTGTTTTGTGATGAATTCGAGTGTCGTTGTCTTGATTGCGTCCAGCTCCATGCCCCGAGAAGTGGTAAACAGGGATTTAACAATATAATCATGCCTGTACTGTTAAAAAAAACACAAAAAAATCAACTTGTATAGCTCAGAAAGGTGGCTTTAACCTCCACATATTAGTTCTGCAAATGCAACAGAGCTGTGCAGCTTCTTGTAAATGTGTCCAGTGTTTAACTATCAGACGTAATCTTTCAGCTACATTTCTTCCACCACCAGTGAAAAAAAAAAAAAAAAGATAAGA